CTTAAACATTTCAATTTCAGACGCATAAAAAAAAAAAAAAAAAAACCCAAAACCAAAAAAACAGGAAGAAAACCCTCGCTGTTCTGCAGGACAACTGAGAATTACTTCCAACACATAACAACTTTATACAGACATTTAATAACCAAATGCTAAGCAGAGTTCAAAAATAAAATGTAACAATCTTTTTAAAAATACTTAAGTCTGTGAAGTTGCACATTTGTCACCAGCAGCGGGAAGCTTACCTGCTTGGCTGTTTTCAGACTGAGCTATAAGTGCTGCCATTGCTGAATTTGGATTCAGCCTATTGCCGTACATATGGGATGGAGGCAGACTGAGAGAAGATCCAGGTAGGGTGTTTGCCTGCAAGAAACCAATTAAAACTTGAATCCTTTTTTTAAAAAGGAGGAGAAATGCTAAATATATTTTAAAGAAGAATTCTAAATGCACAATTATTAAGTTGAATTTTAAAAAAAAAAAACTGAATGTACTTAAAAGAAAAAAATATTCTTTTCCATTTGTGATTTCAGAAATAGAACTGCAGTACTTTGAAAACATATCAGGTTTTAAAGTGTGTTTTACTTGTCGTTGGCAAGACATGTTAATAAAAAACCTTCTAATAAAAAAATTACTGCAGCAAATGTTAAAAATACCAAAATTGCATTTTAGAACAACCACAGTATAGCAGGATGGGTAGACGTTCCTTGCAATCCTGAAGTATGCGCTCAATGCTAGGACTTAGTAGCATGGCGAACATGTGGTTATCCTACTAATTATTTAATCTTATTAAACCATTTACAAAATAAGGGCAGGTAGACAACAGATGTCTCACAAATGCTTGGGTTCCTTACATCACAAGCCGGCTGTGGAGGTCAAAAGGTCCAACTTTCAGCTCTATAGTTTAACTACACAGAGCCATATTTCCTTTGCTCGACTCCGTCATTAGTAAAACCTGCACACTATTTTGTTACTTCCTATTTTGATAGACTTGGAAGCCTGGTGTTTTTTTGTTTTGTTTTGTTTTTATTTTAAAGAACACAAACAGCCATTACAAGTATGTTTTCTATACAATAGGGGGCTCGCCGAATCACAGCTTTGCCCTGACCCCATATAAGGAACTGTATTTTTGGCAGTTGGCCAGCTCTGCTTATTGAAGAGCTCCCAAAGTTTGTGTTCATTCATGTTGCTAACCACAATTCTGAAGGTCTCTGCTGGGACTTGTGCCAAACAAGCGAAAATGAACCCTTAAACAGACGAAGCTAAGGAGGCTGGCCAAAATCTTGCATAATCCAACGCAATAAAAATACCTTCTTCCTTGGCTGCTTATGCTTTTTCCCTTTCGAAGAAAAGATTTGTGTCAAATGCTGAGTTGCAGAGACAGGCAATCAAAGAAAAAAAGGCTCGGCTGCTTATTAAAAAGGCATTTTCCTATCTGATAAAAAAATTATTTCAGAACAAAGAAAAGATTGCAATATTGGGTGGAGGGGACACACACACACAAAAAGATACACAACCTGTATGACCACTGATTTTAAGATTAATCTTTTAAGAAAATGTAAATGACCTTTACAAAGGAAACTTTTTATAAAAACAAAAAAAAAACAACAACAACAAAAAAAGAAGGTGAACAGTAAGGAACTCAATTTGTGGGACATTTTGACATGTATAACTGCACACAAGAGACAGGGGAAACATACTGGTTATTACAGCAAAATATTACAGAGTATAAACTATGTCTCTGGAAAGAATCACACACTACCATTAAGTTTTGGCTTTCAGCCAACATATTAAACTTGATGAATGGACTTTTATGAATTCACACAACTGTTTTCAATGATGCTTTATTTACTATATACTGGTGAGAAATTGTGCCTGATACTTACATTCTTCTACTGTCACAAAGTTAGAAAAAGCCACAAGTAATTACTTACAATGATCAGGGTTTTTTTTTTCCCACTTGTTAGCTTAAAGGTTATGTGCAAGATTGCTAGACACAGAACGACAGTTTCATTTCAAATCTAGCTATTTCTTTCTTTTAAAGAATTGCACATCTTTGGTGGAATTAATCTGAATTAGTTATAAGTCTTAAAAATAATGCAGGCATTTCCACCTACCCAGGTATAATAGCTTCCAGAAATACAGTACATATTAGTACTGTGACACTGATGAAGGTGGCAATACTGCACAGCTCCTGCTATTTTCCTTAATAAACACCTATAGTGTGATTCCAACTCAACTGTTATTGTTCACCAGCAATCTTCAGCTGTTGTCCTCTCAAAAACAAAACAAATGTCAAAAACAATGTAGGGTTTTTTGTTAAATCCTTTCACTGAAGAAGACTTACAGAATGGAACATTACGAGATTCAACCATTATTTGCTTCCGTATCTAAGAGACAAGACTAGCAAAATAAAAATCTATATATACTTCACTGAAATAAATTGGTTGAGCTTATGAATTCTACTAATATAGTTTGTGCTTTTTTTTTTAACTACAAACACCAGGTTTTACTTCTGTTTAGCTTTAGAATATTTCTATAAAATAGAAATTTCTCTTAATTCTAGTAAGCGTACTGCTCACATTTTACAGAGAAGCTGCTATACTTACTCTGACTCCCTGTAATTCACTGCAAGGCTGCTTAAAACTATGCAATAGCAACTATATATTAATTTATGATGGCAGGGCAGCTATAATCAGCAAGGAGAATACGTGTTTATTTGACTGAAACATGCCCAAAGAGCTTTAAGAACTTTCTAAAAGTATCTAAGTATCTTGAAAGGAGTTGCTAAGTCTGTTGAGTAACCATCACATCACAAAACAAAAGACATCAAAGGAATTAAACAATGTTTGCTAAGTGGGTTGATATAACAGATCAAAAGACTTAGCATGATTTAAACAATATCTAAGAACTTGAGTTTTTTCACAAGTGGTGGTTCACCCTAAACTTAACCCCAGTTTATAGTTTAAAATAATAGTAAAGGTGTCCTACAACAAGTTGGAACTACAGAAGTTCTAGTGCCATCATGTATCCTGTGCAACTCTCAAAGAAAAAGTCACATTAATAAAATTGTTCAAGTAAGCTGGAGGTAAATAAAAAAAACTTTTAAAATACTTTTTTTAAATGGCAATGTAGAATGACAGGAATAACGATTTGTGAAGCTTTATTATGTATGTGACGACTTCATCTGACAGGAAAGCAGAGGAGGTGGAAGAGTGCTACATTATTTAAAGGTGAAATAGGAGCTTCATGTTTCACTCACAGTCGAAACAAGCTGTAGCAAGCATTTATTAAAAATGCGCAATCATCCTGTCAATACATATTAAGGTCACAGGACTGAAACATGTTCTAAAATGCAGAACTTTTAAAGCTGTAGTATTCTTTATTTCAACTGATTCTATTTAAACAGTCAACACAATACAGGATCAAAATGTATGAACCAATAAAATAAAGAGACTACTAAGTATTTATTTTGAAAAGGCAGCAAATTTTCCTGAAAAGATTTTAGTAGAAGGATTTAAGCCCATCTAGAGGTATATAATACACTGCTTTCATTTATGGCATGTTCAATAAATCAGGAAAGCAATAAGGAGCAAAGCAGCACAGAAGGAAGATACACTGTAATTCACGGAATGCCCGAGTGCAATAAGAACAAATGATTGAGATTTGATTGATGTTTAAAAACACTTCCTCTACAACAAGAAAGAAAGTGCAAGTATATTCTTCTAATTAAAGAACTCGACTTGCAAGTGAACTAAATTTAACTCATATATATAAATAACCTCTGCAATATTTAAAATAGTTTTATATTTGTTTGCATCACACCAAAACAGTATTTTACTGGAACAGTAAATTTTCCCAAGTTGACAACTAGTTGCATTCATAACTGGATGTTTACTTAAATTTCCAGGGGAAACAGTTTCTTCATTTCAAAAGTTACATGTTCATTAAGCAAAAGTAGCAAAGGGGAGAAAAATGAGACAATACTTAGCCATATACAATTAGATTAGGTCTCAAAAATTTGTGAACCTTTGAGCATGCCTATTCCCCTGTTCCTTTCAAGTTTTATGCTATGAAATATTTTCTGATAACAGGCCTCGTTTCTGTCTCAGCTCCACACCAGTAAGGTTTTAATACTCAGCGTGTGATGAGAGATGAAACCAAGTGTGAACAACTTTCGGGTCCCATGAGTAGGCTGACTGTTGAAGCTGTCAGGTTCAATTGCATCATTCCACATTATTCAATGCCCCAAACTGCTCCCTAATTGTTAGGGGCTTAACATATTCAAAACCATTGTTTAGGCTAATGCTGAAATGCCTACAGTTGAGTTTCCATAAAGAAAGGGGAGGGATTTAATTGTAGTTAAACCATTACTGAACTCTCCTCCTTTCATGATAGGACAACAAGGATGGCTGGAACAACCAATTCCAAGACGGCTTCTTCATCAGTTTAGATCCAATCAACATTGCTTTTCCCCTCTGCTTTAAAAATAGTCATTGCTATATTGTAGCTTCCAGTTATATTATGATGATGCTTTACAATTAGTGACAGATCACCTAATACCTACTTCAGCCAGTATTCTTTGTCAACAGTAATTTCAAAAGATATTTTTATTTCTTGTTTAAAATAAAAACACATCATTGCTCCTGCACTGTCTATATCCCTTGAAGTATGAGTACCAGATTAATGTGGTTGGGGTCATATCATTTACCAATCATACCAGGTTCTTCATCACAGCACGATGCTGGGATAGAAAGTGCAAAACTACCCCTTGCTCCTATTAACATGAAGTAAAGAAATCAAGAGCACTAGATATCATCAACAACTACTTTTTATGGCCAACTACTATGGAAAACAGTATAAAAAAATTTTATGCAGATGAAGTTTAAAGCTAAATTTTCTGCAAGCTATCCTGCTACACTTCTGAGAAGATGTTACTAAAGCTTTCCATGCAGTTGTCTAGCTTCGTGAAATATGGAAAGAAATTCAAGCACTAGAGCAAATATTAACATCACATTACTTCATCTAGAAGTCATCTTAAACTGATGTATTTTGGTCAATGGTAAGCAACATTTATCTGAACAAGGTACTATTGAAAATAACATCAAAATTAAAACCTGCATTGCAATTAAATGAGCTTAGATATTCAAACATATTAATGCTGTGTATATAATTGATAATTAAAAATTTATAACATACATACATATAAATAAATTGCTTTTCTTCAGAAGTTAAAAGAGCTGCTTATCAAGTGATAGCAGCAAAAGCAACCTGGCCTTATATTTCCTAGCTTAACTTGGACAAGGGAAGAAAAGCAATTTTATCCCCAGAATTTTTAAGGCCAGTTACTCTTCAGGAAGCATGTA